TAAATCTGTGTTTAAATACTGTAAAATTCATCTGTCTTTCTCAAAATAATTATTTACAGATTCAAACAGTAAATTTAATTAAAACAAAATTCAAAATACGTATTTACACTTACCAATTTCTAGTGCCGACTGTGAGTATTGTTTCTTTCTTGAACCTTTGATAATTTTGGGAGATTTCAATATTTTAGCAGATGGAAGGAAAAAATTCTTTTTTACTGTATTGGAGAAACTGATAACCAAAACTGATTTTGAAATTAACGTATGGAAGTAACAGAATTTATTTAAACTATTAAGGGTATTATTGTCTTTTAAACAATTGATATACTTTTGTAATTATTAAACATGAATAAGGGTAGAATTGTCTTTTTAATGACAATAGGCCAATGTGGTGAATACAAAAAAAAATGGTCAAAATGAAAAATTGATTGTTTGACCAAGCTATTTTAAAAAGTACCCCGTTGCGAAATTAGAAAACCCAATGGCGACCGACGTAATTTTGTACATTCGATGGGTCAAACTCAAAACCCCCCAAGAAAATATCTTCTTTGATATAAAGTCCGAATGTCTGGAAGTTTCCAGCGGCGCCAGATTTTCTCTTGCTATCTTTCGCAAGATATTTTCCGCCCAACGTAGCCCATCTTTCCTTACAAATTTACAATTTCTCTTAATTCAGTTCCGTGCATTGCTTTGCTTTAGTGTTAAAAACGTTTGCTAAATTCAACGGATGCTTGAGCAAGAACAATTAGTTCCTGATTGTCTGTATTCGGCAGCGTTGATTATAAATCGTGGCACTGTTTTCTCAAATTCACTCGGTGAAATTTGAGATTTTGGATTCCGGATAGAAGAATTTGGAATGGAAGGAGAAGGAGGCTCCAAAGGACCGTGCTATTACTCTGTGCTAGGGATTCACAGGGATTCCTCCTTCTCTGACATTCGCTCTGCTTATCACAAGCTCGCTCTGGTAATTCCACCTCTTATACGCCCTCGTTTCCATTTCTTTGCCTTTTCGTGAATTTTTATGATTTTTTTTTTTGGGTAAAGAAATGGCATCCAGATAGATGTTCGAAAAACTCGTCGGACGTTGGAGAGGCCAAACGCTGCTTCCAGAAAATCCAAGAAGCCTACTCAGGTATTGTCCATTGATAATGCAAGCAAATTCTTATGCCGAATCGGTCAACGTGGTATTGTCCATTGATAATGCAAGCAAATTTTGATATTAAATTGTTTTTGTTTTTCGGGTTAAATTTTTCCGGTCCGGCGGTGGCGCGTGGCAGTGTTGTCCGATCAGGGGAAGAAGTCAATGTACGATGCTGGATTTCTCGATCTGTTCGAGGAAGATGAGGTGCGCAGTGAAAGTATCTTAGATATTTTTCTCGTGTCTTTGATTCTACCCACGTAGTTTTAGCATTGCCCAAACTAAGGGTTAATTACCCGAATGATCACTTAACCTCACTTTACCTTGCGTAAAGTTTTCACGGTGTCAATGAACTTCAAAAGTTTGTCTGTTAATAATTCAAATTTGCAAAATGTAATATCATCCATACTCAAAGTGGATTGCAAAAATTGATGGATTTGTTAACGCGACTAACAACGTCATTCTAAGTATTTTAGGCCATATCATAAGTTGCTATCTAGTGTGTCTCACACAGAACCTTTTTTTATCGGCAAAAATGTTGATCATCATTGAAGAACGAGACCCCCCAATATGAAACCAAACTTCAAGTCGATCAAGACCACCTCACCACCACTAAATCCAACAGCACCACCACCACCACCAAAACAAGCCCTTTTTCACTTTTGGTTCTACTTCACTCTTGTTGTCTCCCTTATTGCGTTTATATTTATTTCTTATTCCTCTCTTTCCCCAGAAGACCCAAAGACTTGGTTCTTCAATCTGCCCCCCAGTTCTCCGCCTTCACTACTCCTAAGGCCGCACCATCAAAGTTCAAACAGTTCCTAATTATTCCCAAGTTGAAGTCTTTTCCATCCAAGAAGGCCCAACTAATTCGGATTCTCACGCCCTTTTTGTACATGACTTAGGCTGTAGTTCTTTTGCTTTTCACTGTATTCTCAAATCTTCAGGCCTGAGAAAGGTCCATGCTGTGGCTATAGATCTACTGGGGTCTGGCGGCTTTTCGGATAAATCCATGGTTGTGCTTGAAGAGATTGTCAGTGGTAATTAGGTTTTTGGGAAGAACTTTGTTATTTGTACACCGGTGTTGACAAGGAGGGGCTCACGTTTAATAAAAAAAGCGTGAACCCCCCTTTGTGTGAGGGACATGTACACGCCAGTGTATGTGTAGCACAATTTTTTTGGAAATACGTGGAATGTGTATTGGGTGACAACAAGAGAAAAGATCTGTTTTTAACAATTCACGCCGGTGTATGTGCAGCACTATTCTTTTGGGAATATGTGGACGTGTGACGTGGTTTCACTGATGAACTTTCATTTGAAAAAAAGTCCATTGTGCATAAAATTTGTATTTCCATCTATAAATTGGTTTCCTTGAATACTAAGTTTAAGTTGTTCCTGTGAAGCAATTTAAATTTTAAGATGAGATGCTTAACATTCTAGTGCCACCAAGCAGGAAAAAATAAAAGGATTGGAGTCTCGTTGCAATTTGTTTATGTTATAAATTGTACAGTTGTCAGGAAAATAAACTCGACTTGATCTACATGTGATGGATGCGTTAAATCTCTAATGATGGGAATTTGGCTTGCTTGCTTGGGCTGTTTATTGCTTAGCCCGAAAAAGTCCAAGTCGACCTAGCTTGAGGCTTGGGTCGAGCCCCATTTTGGGGGTCAGGCTGAGCCAGAGCTAGTCCGTGTGACTCATCGGGCCAACTTAAAAAAAAAGAAAAAAAAAAAAGAAGAAGAAGGAAGAAAGAAAAAGAAAAAGCAAAAGCAAAAAATAGGCAATACATAGCTGCCTATGTATTATAATAAAAAAAACAAAACCAAAAAAAGGGGAAAAAAAAAAAAAAAAAAAGAGAGAAAAATTCTGAGCTAGCTCGGCCTGACTCGGTAAGGCTTGAGCAAAAAACTCATGCTGAGCATCAAATTTTTGGTCAAGCTTTTGTTTTCCTCGGCTCGGGTCAAAAAAATATTCGATTTAATTTTACTCGAGCCTCGAGTTTTGGTTTATTGACATCCCTAATTTTATCTAATACCGTAACTTGATACAGGGCATGGGTGATTTTCTGCAAGATCTGATGAATATGATGGAGCAAAATGTTGTGGCTAAGGTTAGTAATTTCTTACATTTTCAAGGGTCAGAATAACGACTTTCAATTACATTTGTATTAACTCGCAATTTTTTTTCGAAGGAGGAGAGTATGGAGGATCTTCAGAAAACATTTGTGGATTTGTTCGGTGAGGATTTGGTCAACATGATGCAGGAGAGTGGTGATCCAATGGTGAATAAGAGGACACGTGATCGTGGAAACTATGAAAGGATTACTCCAAAACGTAGCACCAATGTTTAGACTTTATGCCCTCATTCTGCCCATTTTTGTGCTTATTACCAATCAAATGTGAGGGTAGATTACGTAAGTTAAAAGTACCGTCTTTAGATCTATTTGGTGGGTATCAACTACCAAGACTTTTGGTTGCTTTTAATAAAGTCTCTTTTTCTTTTCTCTAGGATTTTTATTAGACAGAAAAGCGTTCTTACATATAGTCCAGAATCTTAGATAGATGTTATGTCTAACAATCATGCTACAATGATATAATTTTTGATATAATGTCACATCGCACATCAACATCGAATTGTTTTCAATGAAATTTACTTTTCATTGAATCATATCTTATCAATATTCTTAATGTCACTTTACACGTCAATCATTTTCTGGCAAATTGGCATTGCTCATGCTCGAATATGAAAGACTAGTGCTACACGGGGTGGACGTGCAGACTACGAGTAAGGAAGCCATGTAGGGCAATACTGGCCATGTCATCATAAAAAATATAATTAGACCATGTTTGGCTGAGATTAACATAAAAAAATTTGATAAAAGGTGATTAAACGTATGATTAAGAAATTGTGTATAATTAAATATGTGATTAAAATTAACTGATAAAATATGTGGTTGGCACGAATCAGAAGTTCTTTAAGAATTGACAACCCACATTAAAGCATATGGGCTCCACACTTTGATTAAGAGCATGTTTGGGAATAATAAATTGATGGTTTAAATTAAAAACAAATAATAAATAAGTAATATTTGTGATTTTTTAAAAATATATGAATAAATAATATCTTAAATATTTGAAAATATAAGTTAAACATAGGCTATAGCCACTTTGCAAGGATTAATAACATCACTAGTGTAAAATCCTCATTCGATGCAGAACGCATTGAGGTAGTTCACAAGCCAGTTGAACATAAATTATGAACTTTGTCACAATTTTGTCTGAATTAAGTTAAATGATCACATTGTTTGACACATCTCTCACAATTGAGGTGTGGGTTCCGGATGAATAAAATAATGCCAATCTCCCCATGTGAGTGAATGTGTCAACCAATATGTCAAGATTTGTGATCATATAGTATGATCCATTTTGTCTATCATCAAATTTTTATTTTTTTACTCTGGACTTTATGTCGAATTACTACTTGAATACAAATTATGAACTTAAACTTTGTAAAAAAATTGGCAATGTTATAAAATTAAAATAATTTACTTTTATCTAGATTATAAAATATGGAAACAAATATCATTCAAAAACTACAAGGAGAAAAGGATAAAATGAAAAATATATGTTGGGCGGGTCGGAGATGTCTCTGTTACGGTCAAAATGCTTGAGGAGGTTAATTTAACTAAAAAAACTACGTCATTTTCAAACACATGAATTAAAAAATAATAATAAAAATTGACTAAAAAAGAAAAAAGACTTTTTGGTAAAAGAAAAATTATCATCTAATATTGGGATCATTGTGCATGGTGGACCATTCAGCCATTCCGTAGTTCCTTAGATCCATCCATCTTTCCCGATATTTACGCCAGACATTGATTACACTGTTCCGTCTGTCGGTGGTAGATCTTATTTTTATTATTGCTTTTTTCTCATTCTTAATATTTATATCAATTTTTAATTGTGCATTTAAGATCAATTACTGAATCTTTACTGCTATTTTACTGTCTTTGCACCCTTTAATCTTCCGTTAGTTCCGTCAAATCTGGCTAATTCTTCTTTAGTTAATATTTATGTGCGATTCAGCGATTTTGTAATTTTGCGTTTAATATTATCTGCAAGTTCGATTTAATTCTATTTTGAAATTTCCTTAGGGTTTAGGTTTTCTTACCACACAGTAAATTGAAAAGATCTTGAACGAATTTTCTTTCCCATTCGGATATGAACGTAGTTTTAGCCTTTGTTTTCAGTCAGATTTACTTCAATTTTAGAGGGGTCTAAACAAAAACGAAAATTTTCCTAGATTCTTCAAATTTCAAACCCTAATGGCTTCGATTCGATTGGATGCATCGAAACAGTACTATGCAACCAGCAGTCTTGTAGTGGGCTATGCTTTGTGTTCTAGCTTGCTTGCTGTGATCAACAAGTTTGCTATTACCAAATTTAATTATCCTGGACTTCTCACAGCTCTGCAGTACTTAACTTCAGCTCTTGGTGTGTGGATCCTTGGGAAACTCGGGTTCTTGCACCACGACGCGTTCAACCTTGAAACCGCCAAGAAATTTCTTCCGGCAGCCTTTGTTTTTTACTTGGCCATTTTCACTAATACAAATCTGTTGCGCCATGCTAATGTGGATACATTCATAGTGTTCAGATCCCTGACGCCCCTTCTGGTTGCAGTAGCTGATACTGCATTCAGGAAGCAGCCGTGCCCTTCCAAATTGACATTCTTGTCCTTGGTGATCATTTTGAGTGGTGCGGTTGGGTATGTTGCGACGGACTCTGATTTTACACTGACTGCTTACTCATGGGCTTTTGCATACTTGGTAACAATCACAACAGAGATGGTTTACATCAAGCACATGGTGACCAATCTTGGGTTGAACACTTGGGGATTTGTGTACTATAACAATCTTCTGTCATTGATGATGGCACCCGTCTTTTGGATTATAACGGGGGAGTATGCTGACGTGTTTGCAGCCATGGGATATTCAAGTGGGAGGAATTTATTCGAACCAGTTGCATTTTCTGCGGTGTCCTTGTCTTGTCTGTTTGGTTTGCTGATTAGTTTCTTTGGTTTTGCATGTAGGAAGGCCATTTCTGCAACTGCATTTACAGTGACTGGAGTAGTGAATAAGTTTTTGACTGTTGCGATCAATGTGTTGATTTGGGATAAGCATGCTAGTCCATTTGGTTTGGTTTGTCTGCTGTTAACTATTGCCGGAGGGGTTCTCTATCAGCAGTCAGTTACTGGAGCTGGCAATGCTTCAAACCAGCGCGAGTCTGCAGCATTGAAGCAGATGGAAACTGAGAATGAAGATGAAGGTTTTGCAGGCGAGGATGAAGGAAAAGGCATTTCTGGTAAATTTTCTGGCGTATGATCTTTTCTTGCTCTGGCTGCTGATGGATAGGCTACTTAATCAAATATTCATGCACATGGCTAGTGATTATGAAACTTACATGTATTTTCTCTAAATTTCGATAAGTATTAAATAGTTTTTCGGTTTAGCATAACTGCTTCAGATGAACATTATGGGGGTATGAAGGTAATGCTTTCCCTCACTCGTGGTCCAATGATGCATGGAGAATGATATTGACCTGGTTTATTTCTGATACATTGGTCTCTTTTTGCCCATGTTTCTGTTTAGAAATTCTGGATGTCTTTTATTGGTGCATGTTACGATCACTCTTTTGAAAGGACCTACGGTGCTAATGTTGTTTCTTTCATCCATTTCCTTTCTTTCTTAGCTATTCACTAAGTTCTGAGAAGGCCAGTGAGAGTTGAATAAATGTGATCGAGCAAATTACTGTAATTATTTTAGCCATAATTGGGGTTAGGGTTATTGAAACACGGCGCTAATGAATTTTGTGCTTGAAATAATAAAGTAGCTCAGCCTGGATAGTAGATGCCCCTTTTCTCTCTCTTTTGAAATAGCCTTAGGAGGCTAAGGATGTATATTTCTTTTATCCAGTTTCTTTTCTTTCTTGGTTTTTCTCCGACTTTTGAAGAAGTTGAAAATTGAAGTGTGATTAAGCAATTGATTTGATTATTTAAGCCATTATTGAGGCTGTGGTTTTTAAAAGTGGGAGGCTAGCCCTTGTTTGATCTCCATTATTTTCAAAATTCATTTTTTTCTCTTTTGTTTACAACCTCACATTCTTCAATGAAATAATATTACACGCAAACCCATCACTTTTCCTTATTGTTTAACCACACAATCTCCATCAATCTACTATTCCAAAATGCATTCTTAGCAAAAAAAATGGGGCTCAAACAATAACTATTGTGCTTGAAATGATAAAGTACCTTTGAAAAATAGATGCAATATTCGCATTCTCACTTTTTGGAGGACCTATGATGTTTGTTGCTTTCACACATTTCCTTTTTTCTCCTTATCTGTCCATTTTTGAAAGATATTGAAAATAGAATGAATGTGAACGGAATGATTTATTGTTTATTATTGAGCCTATAGTAATCTAAACACAGCTCAATGACTTTGTGATTGAAATAATATCACCTTTGAACAATAGATGCATTTTTATAGTTGAGCATGTTCTGTCAACAACTCGGTATTCATCTTCTAGTAAAACTTGTCTACTTAAATCTTGAACTAGCATTTGATTAGGGTGCATATAAATGTAGCAGCTAATAAGTTAAAACATTTATTTGTGGGGAGGATGACTCAGATCGACCAAATTCCTAGCAGACTGGTTAAAACTATAGAGATTAGATGAATGTAAACTACTATTGCCTGGGTCTTGTTTGGTACCTTTTGACTTATTACCATCTAAAGCTGCAAAGCTGGTGTCTTGCTTAAATAATTAGCAAGATGCTCATCTTGTTCAAGTTTCGAACTTATTATATTTCTTGTTTGTGATGTGAAAAATTCTTTCAAAAAACAAGTTTTTTACTTGGGTAATCCAAAAACGAGATATATTAGTGTCAAATTATCTTTGAATGAGTAAAACGAGTTGACATATACATCTTGTGCTGATATATTGTACACAATCTTGCTGATGTTTAATTTTCCATTTAGAACCTGTATCGACCATTATCTTTTCTATTGTTAGAGAACGATTTCTTGAAAGATTTTTGAGTTAAAAATTGTCTTCTTGGTTTGTTTACCAACTTGAAGCTCTTTGAATTTAGGATTGGTTCAGCCTTTTTGATGACGTTTTTGAATTCTGTAGTGAGTCGATAATGAATCCTTGTTCAGTGATACAAACATGAACATATTTTTGGTATTCTCGTGCTGTGATATGATAGTTTGATTTTCTAATATTTGATTGACGTACACTGTACTTTAACGGTATATTTGATGCATAATGCCCTTGTTTGATCCCCATTTTTTTTTTGTAAAAATGTATTTTTCAACAGTGTTTTGACATCATTTTCACCACACATTTTTCAATAAAATAATATTACACACAAATCTAAAACGTTTTCTTATTTTTTAACTACACATTTCACATCAATACACTATTCAAAAATTCATTCTATCCTCCAAAATGAGGTTCAAACAAGGGCATTAATATTAGATTGTACTTTGCACGAAAAGAAACAAAATTTCTTGTCTTCTATAATCTTCTTGTGTCAAATACAGCAATATTCTAGATGCTAATGACCGTATGCAAATGTTCCAAAGAGGAAGAAATAATAGTTTCATCCTCACACAAAATGCTAAAAAAAGGCATCGACGGACTTGTAAATCGAATTGAGAATTTTAAATAACAAATAGCAAATGGAAAATATGAACTCTTGCCAAATAGGCGTCATTGTACTTGTCACTTCTTGGGAAGGCAAGAAATACGATCCTCATGTTGAATTTTTTGAAATTTTCTTGGTTTTTTATATATTTTTATTTGATTAAAAATTAAAAATATATATATAATTAAAAGGGAGGATAACTGAAGTACTCAATGTATGAATTGACACATGTATTAAAAGTGGTCTTTTGAACGAGTCATAGGTTAAAAGTCTGTTTGGGAGTGATTTTTCACCATTTCAATCGTTATTTTTTATTTTTTTCCCACAAATGGTCCTTACTTTTCTTTTAACAGTCAAAAAATTAATTTTCGAAATTCCTCTTGAATAAATCCTAATATTCATGACGATGTATATTGGGCTTGGACTTTAATTCGATTCAGCCGTGAGAGCCCAAGGCACTTTTCAGAGTGTAGTCGAATCCGTTATTGCAATTCGGGTTTTCCCACATCTTCAAATTCAAATTCTGGTCCCATTTCCGTAAATATTTCTTGATCCATGTCCCATTTCTTAGCCCAACGGCTCCACGAAAACCACTACATAAGAGTTAAGACCTCCTTTCAACCTCACGCTCTTCTCTCCACTCCCCATTCAAATTGAACTCACTCACAAAACCCCATTCATTTTTCCCCAAATTCACAGATTTAAATTCCCTTTTTGCCCCCATATAGACAGATTCAAGATGTCGCTGAGGCCAAATGCCAAGGTGGAGGTCCGCCGTAACAGGTACAAAGTGGCGGTTGACGCGGAGGAGGGACGGCGGAGGAGGGAGGACAACATGGTGGAGATACGCAAAAATCGGAGAGAGGAGAGCCTACAGAAGAAGCGTCGTGAAGGACTTCAAGGGAATCAACAATTCCCTATTTCTGTTGAGGCCACCACAGGCATCGATAAGAAGGTATATGGGTTCAAAGCCTGTTGAAATTGATGATTTAACCTACATGTATTCGTTAGTTTTTAGATGATTGTAATTGAATGGTTTATAGTTTTTTGGATGCTCGATGGATGCTAGGGTTTTGCAGTTTCGTTGGCTACTTTAGTATAATTATTATGGTATATAGATCAATGTTTCTTTGAATGTCTTTTAACGGTTTCTGGTGTGAATTTGTGTGCTTCAATCCATTTGAATTTATTGAGTAATTTTTTGATGCTTGAAGTGGAAATTCTTATTATAGAATGAGGTAGACGTGTTTTTTAGAAATGCAAGAATGAGCTTCTTATTGTGACGTATTGTCGCGAGTGCAGGTGCAGTTAGAAAATTTGCCAGGAATGGTTGCTGGTGTCTGGACTGATGATTCTAGTAGACAGCTAGAGGCTACTACCCATTTCCGAAAATTGCTTTCTATAGGTTATTTTTGGGTCTTCCAGAATTTGTTATCATTGAACTTCTCTTTTCCCGCTAGTTTGGTTATCAATTTTTCTGCAAATATTGCTCTATGTCAGAACGGAGTCCTCCAATTCAGGAGGTAATTCAAGCAGGTGTTGTTCCTCGTTTTGTTGAATTTTTAATGAGGGAAGATGTTCCACAGCTTCAGGTCTGATAATATTATCTTATTCATCATTAATTGTTCTGTGCCAGCACATTAGGGTTCTTCAATAGTTATAAATAATTTGTTTTGTTCAAAATTTCTTCAGTTCGAGGCAGCTTGGGCCCTCACAAATATTGCTTCTGGGACATCTGAGCACACTAAGGTGGTAATTGATCATGGTGCAGTCCCTATTTTTGTGAAACTTCTTGGTTCTGCAAGTGACGATGTCCGAGAACAGGTGTATAATGTGTTATATAAATATTTTTAGCCTTCCAGTTACTTCTGTTCTGCTATCTTTTTGTTTGGATTTTTATAGTTAGTTTGCTGTGTTAGTTGTTAAATTTTACAGTCACTTGATTTAGTCTTGTCTGCTTTGTTTGTTTAGGCTGTATGGGCCTTAGGAAACGTAGCTGGAGACTCCCATAAATGTAGAGATCTTGTGCTTGGGCATGGAGCCTTGGCTCCTTTGCTAGCTCAGCTTAATGAACGTACTAAGTTATCTATGCTCAGAAATGCCACCTGGACCCTTTCGAATTTCTGCAGAGGCAAGCCACAGCCTGCTTTTGAACAGGTAAGTAACATATATCTTGGATGGTTGCATGTTCTCACATATAATCGCAATTCTTCATATTTACAAATGCAAGGTTGAGCCTTTATAATATTTTTGAGATATCTTTGAGATATCATAATATCGAACTTCAACAAATGATATTTGGAATAATGCTCATTCATGGAATCATGTTCTATATGTGTTGTCCCTGTTTGATCCCCATTTTTTGAGGAAAATATGTTTTGGAATAGTTATTTTTTTGGAAAATGTGTTGTCAAAAAATAAGGAAAAGTTTTGAGCTTACGTGTAAAATTATTTTATTGGATAATGTGTGGTTGAAAATGAGTTTTGGGAAAAATGGAGCCCAAACATAGGCATCATCAGCTTATCATAAATATGGTACGGCCAAGATTTTTATATTCTTGAATGCGAGCTATGTATTCTACTTTGAATCTATGCACAGTATAGCAGCTTATACCCTCTGTACCTTAATAATTCCTGGCTCATAAGGTGAATACCTCCGTATGTTGCATCCAAATATATAACTAAATTTTCTGTACTAATGAAAGGAAATTTTGTTCTTGAACCTTAAGAAAGAGCATGTGTCCTGACATTATCATCTTATTTTACAGACAAGACCTGCTCTTCCAATTCTTCAGCAACTTATACACTCGAGTGATGAAGAAGTTTTGACTGATGCATGTTGGGCACTCTCTTATCTTTCTGATGGCACAAATGATAAAATACAAGCTGTGATCGACTCTGGAGCATGTCCCCGTTTGGTTGAGTTGTTGCTGTGAGTATTTATGTTTCATTTATATTTACCTTTGGAGTGAGTTTTTTCATAGAGAAGTCTAACTTTTTATTTAGTACTCACCTGACGAAAGTAATATTTTGCTATTTCAGTCACCCATCTCCTTCTGTTCTTATCCCTGCCCTTCGGACAGTTGGAAACATTGTCACTGGAGATGATATACAAACTCAGGTACCTTCGATTTCCATCATTTTGCTCTTCGCCAGGAGATGGTTTCTGTTTGTAAATATGCTGGAACTCATTTTAAAAAGGACAATAAAAAAGGAAATTTCTATTGAAGAGAAAACAAAACAATGTAAAAAGAAAAAGTTCCATTTTCAGTTATGGACCACCCACCCTTGAAACTTTTTTCATCAAAATGACAAGCTGATGAGTGATGAGGTAAAAGGCTTAAAAAAGGGCGGAATCATGACCATTTAACTAACCTTTGCTACATTTCAATTTGTATGATAACTTATCCGCATCGAAAACTCTATCTCAGAGTAAGAACTGTTCATTAATACCTGAAATGAGGAAGGATTTTCCAAAACACGAACTTAGAGTCCTAAAATGTGGTCTTTGCCATCGAAAACTAATAAAATTTGAGAGTTAGTAAGCTCCGTATGAGCAGCGACTCAAGAAAATGCATCTTTCTCTCCCCCAGCCACGGCTAACTCAAGAAACCACGTTATACGAGCTTCCCTCCTTGATGCAAATTAGTATGATAGTCGTCTTGGTTTGGAGATTTGGGTCAATATTATAACCGAGATGCGAGGATATAGGTTATGTTGTATTTACCCGGCATTAACTTGTAAAACAATTAATTATAGAAGAAGAGCATACACGCCTCGCTTCTTACGTTGACTATCTGATCTTGCATTTCTTCGTTCTTTGTTTTGGGTTCTTGTTTAGATTCTCACAAACTAGGTGAAATGTGAGGACTTGTTAGTCAACAAATTTGAGTTTTGACTGGAAGTCATATATCGTAGATATTCAAACAGTCTCCGAGTCTAATGTGTAGCAAAGTGACTTGTGTTCTATGTCGGAAGGCAGCTTTAGCTGGAAAGCAAAAGACCCTAAATTTCATGAAGTCTGCTTCCTAAATAATATTGTATTTTCACAAGTCGTGTAACAGTTTGTTTGTGCATATATGCTCTGAACTTATTATGTAGCAAGTTTGTTTTCACAAGTCATGTATCACTATATGAGAATGATAGTAATTACCCAATGGTAATTGAAGATGATAAGGGCATCTCCAATGGTTGAACTATTGCACCATTTTGCACCATTTTTTGGTGCAAAGTTGCTCCAATGTAACACCAAACTTTGCATCATTTTAGTGCAAAATGGTGCAAAGTGTAAAATGTCTCTTTTTCCCTTATTTAACATTTCTCAAATAAATTTGTTAAGAGTACTTATGTCATTTGTGCTATATATTTTTCAATACAATCAATTATTATTATTATTTTTATTAATATTAATATTATTATTATTTGCATTTAAAATAAATTTTAAATTTAAGACATAATAATTAATAAATTAATTAAAAGACGAAAACAATTTAAAATACAACAAACACGATTATTTATTAAAGTTAACACGAAATATATTAAACAACAACATACATACGATAATCTAATTTGATTTTATATTTTCGTTGTTGTAGTGTTTTTATTAATTATTCTGTGTTTTTTATATTTATTAATGAATTTAATTTTTTTCATAATTTAACATAATTGTTTATTTAGTAATTTATGTATTTATAAAATAATTAAATAAATAATATTTCAAATAAATAAATTATGAAGAATAAAAAAAGGAAGAAAATGGTTAAACACTGTTCATTTGGTGTAATAGTTAGAGATGAATTTTAGGCCATCTCCAACTCCACACCAAATTTTGCACCATTTTGCACCAAATTTTACATCAAATCTTGTACCAAACTAAAATTCATTTCCAACCATTACACCAAAAGTTACACCAAATGAACAGTGTTTAACCATTTCTTCCATTTTTTATTCTTCATAATTTATTTATTTGAAATATTATTTATTTAATGATTTTATAAATACATAAATTACTAAATAAATAATTACGTTAAATTACGGAAAAGATTAAATTCATTAATAAATATAAAAAACACGGAACAATTTATAAACACACTACAACAACAAAAATATGAAATCAAATTAGATTATCGCATGTATGTCGTTGTTTAATATATTGCGTGTTAATTTTAATAAATAATCGTGTTTGTTGTATTTTAAATTGTTTTCGTCTTTTAATTAATTTATTAATTATTATGTCTTACATTTAAAATTTATTTTAAATGCAAATGATAATAATTTATTGTATTGAAAAATATATAGCATAAATGACATAAATACCCTTAACAAATTTATTTGGGAAATGTTAAATAAGCCAAAAGAGACATTGTGCAAAGTTTGGTGTTGCATTGGAGCAACTTTGCACCAAAAAATGGTGCAATAGTGCAACCACCCTTAGTTTGGTGCGAGATTTGGTGTAAAATTTGGTGCAGGGTTGGAGATGGCCTAAGAACACATGCAATACAAAATTATTACAACTTCAGAACACAAACTAAGAGAGTTAATTAAGCCTATGTTTGGCTTATGTTTATAAGTGATACAATCCTAGACAAACCCATGCCAAGCCTACCTAATACAGTTGTTGTTTACAATGTGCGTTCATTATTGATTGAGTCACTACTAAGTAAGAGTAAGGTGGAGATATTATTATTTTAAATGAACAAATGTCGTGTGCATAAAAACAATTTTCTAAGCACTTGGTTTGTCATATTGTTAAGCTGCTGGTGAAAATGGCATACACCTTTTGTGATAATGTTTTTAGTTTAACAATTGAAACTCGAGAAGCATTTTCATAGGTTTGAGAAGATATTCAGAATATATATGATGGCTCAACAGTTTGGATTACCTTTTTTTTTTTTGTTTGCTAGTTATTACATTGTCTAGAGTTAACAAAATATATCATTGAAGTTATTTGCTAATCAGGAAAATCTCTGGGATGGGGAAATTATTGATATTGGGCTAAGGGCACTGGGGAACAAGGCATTTAGTTCTGTTGTTCTGGTTGGTAATCTTCCTTATATGAACTGAACTTAGCTGCATCGCATAACTTTATTTTGTTTAAAACTATCAAAAGATCCTATGTAAAAAGGTTATATATTCTGTCGAGTTGCGGTCCGTATGTACACTCAAATGACAATGTCCAGTTGAGTAGTGTATGTGCTTTCTGCTTGAATTTTTGTTTTTTTGTGAAGTCACAACAGATCCTTTTAGATCATTAAGCTTGGTAATTTGATAAGTTGTTACCTGTGATGACTGAGGAGTCCCGTATTTTTTACAGTATATCATCAGCTATAATGCACTACCCTGTCTTATGAACCTCTTGACTGGTAGCCATAAGAAGAGCATTAAAAAAGAAGCTTGCTGGACTATTTCGAACATCACAGCTGGAAACAAGGAGCAAATTCAGGTAAATTTTAATTCTAGCATCCAGCCTTTGTATCAAAAATATATATGAACTTGATTTATTCATGCTTCTGTGAAATCTTTTGGGAATTCATGTAGCTGACCGCAGATTCATTTACATCAATTGTCCCCATCTGTACTTTTGTTTTCTTAATGTCAAACCTTGCTCTGGGTGACGTATTTTTTTAATTCTGCAGGCTGTAATTGAAGCCAACATTTTTGGTCCTCTAGTTCTTCTGCTTCTAAATGCAGAATTTGATGTGAAAAAGGAGGCTGCCTGGGCAATATCAAATGCAACGTCTGGTGGCACTCACGAACAAATTAAGTGTGTGCTCAATTTTCCCTTAGTTTCTTAATATTTCAAGATGCATTAGTATTTTACTTGTTCATAACAGCACTCATATTTTGTTTTGAACAGGTATCTTGTGAGTCAACAGTGCATCAAGCCTCTATGTGATCTGCTTGTCTGCCCTGATCCAAGAATCGTCACAGTATGTTTGGAAGGACTCGAAAACATTTTGAAGGTAGGGGAAGCTGAGAAGAACTTGGGACATACAGGAGATGTCAACCTTTACGCTCAGATGATTGATGATGCTGAGGGCCTGGAAAAAATCGAGAACCTGCAGAGTCATGATAATAATGAGATTTACGAGAAGGCAGTAAAGATTTTGGAGACATATTGGGTGGATGAGGATGATGACGAACCGACACACCAAGGAGATGCCTCCCAACAAAGCTTCCAGTTTGGAGGTGGAGATGTCTCTGTGCCTTCTGGTGGATTCAGTTTCAAATGAAGGTTGGTATCCCCAAGGTACGTACCCAAAAGAGGTGCACGAACGTTGTGCTGTTGAACTGACTTGTTGGCTTCTTAATTCATTGATGGAATTTGTTCCTAAGATGTTTTGCTTTGTCCGTTGTCCTGAGGAATTTGTATCCTAAAACTTTTTCTTGTTTTTGACCTATTGTTGGGTGATTTTGGCCCTCCCAAAAATTAGTTTACCCAGCTCATTCTCACTATGAAACCAGTTATTTATAAACTTTTCTCATGTTGCTAAGAATGCCTTTGCCACACTGTGTTTCGTTATTGGATTATCATCGATGTTATGGATTTCATAAGCAAATGACAATGGGATTTCTGATCTATGCCTGTCTAATTGGTCTATTTAGTCCAATCTAAATTCCATATTTTTAAGATTTCACAGTGTTAGTAGGGTCATTGACTTTCTGGACTGTGGTGAGATCAGAAAATGTGTTGATAATAGGGGTTTGTTTGAGTCTCATTTTTTGGGTTAATATGCTTTGAAAGAGTGATTTATTGGAGAATTGCGGTAAAAAAGTGGACAAAAGTTTTTAATTGACATGTTTTATTGGAAGAACGTAGAATTGAAAATGAGTTCGAAGAAAAATAAATTTTTTAAAGAAGGGGTCTCAAAATAGCGGCTAATCAGTACAGCTAAAAATGTTGAATGACGAGTTGAATCATAAATATTTGAGGTGGGCCGTCTAGGGCACAATAAGACCTATCATATCATTCACGTGATTATTGAAATGATTATTTTAATTAATATATAATTTTTTGATCACATATTAAAACATTATAATGTTGTGAAAATTCTTAAATGGCAAAAGTTAGTTTAGATTGTATTTAATGTCACGTAAAAACATTCTTTTAAAACTGTCTCCCCTATGTCTACATTTAACCGAAAACGTTTATTTAAGCATTAATTGACAATGTAATATCAAAGTAGAAGGGTAAACTTGTCCAAAATAGTTTTAATTGTTCCAAACAATTCAAACGGTTTTTTTTTTCAACTTTCATAGAAAAATCCGTACAAATAAAATCCTTTGATGTTTAATGATATCTATACCTATTGCTTCTACCTATTATTGACATCGCATGAGCGTACCATAATTAAATTTCAGATCATAATTTACATATCAAAATTTTGTCCGACAATCATTACATCTATCCAGGGGTGTCAACGAGTTGAGCTAAACTTTGGGTCGGCCAAGAAATTTAGGCTCGACCCGAATTTTTGATTCAAGCCTTGCTGAACCAAGTCGGGCCAAATAGGGTAGGCTCAATTTTTTTTTTTTCTTTTTCTTTTTCTCTATATGCCTTAGTTAATAAGGCAACAGGATGCTGCCTTAAAAAAAGGTAGCCTGTTGCCTTTGATTTGGAATTTTTTTATATATAGGCTCGAGTCCGAGCCGACGAGCCATAGTGGCCAACTCGGCCTTGGCCTGGCACCCAAACTGGGGTTCGGTCCAAGCCTCAAGTCGAGCTATAGGTGGCCCGAGTCGACAAGCTTGATTTTCATCTTTACATCTACCCCATCACCTGATTTGTTAACTTTTAAAACATGTGTGAAATAACTGGCATAACAATATTTTAATAAGTTAAGTGATAATTTAAAGAACTTCTAAACTTTAATAGCAATTAAAAAATATTTAAAAAAAAAAAATTCAATGGTAACTCAAAAGAGATTTTAAAGTTCAATGAAAAATGAAAAAATTTAAGAAATTTCAATTACGTTTGAGATATTTAATCCAAGCAACGTTTAGCACCTAAAAAAGGTGAAAATGAAGCTTAGATTGATAAGTGGTTATTTAACTATTAAATAAACATTGACTTAATTAAATGAGTGCTCACCGGATTAATACCTAGATTATTACTGGCTCACTAAATTTTAAATGATTACTCAATGCTCACTGATCTATTCATTACTTTACTCAATGCTCATCGTAGTTCATTCCATATACACAATTGGACAAATNAAGGTGAAAATGAAGCTTAGATTGATAAGTGGTTATTTAACTATTAAATAAACATTGACTTAATTAAATGAGTGCTCACCGGACTAATACCTAGATTATTACTGGCTCACTAAATTTTATATGATTACTCAATGCTCACTGATCTATTCATTACTTTACTCAATGCTCATCGTAGTTCATTCCATATACACAATTGGACAAATATGTCTACATGGCAAATAAAAAACATGAGGTGGCACATGAATAATATCCACCTCTTTTCTTTTCTTTTTTTTGGTAAAATATTCCATATATCTTCTCCATATTTTTAAACAGCTCCATTCTCAAATCACCTTCTTCCCAAAATCATTATTTTCCCCATATCGCCCTCCTCTCCTGTGCTTGTAATCTGCTTCTTTGATTCCCAGGTCACATGGATTTTTTTTTAATTTATTTATTTTTTTTTGGGATTGGAAGACTTCTTGGGAATTCATCAAGATCTTCAAAAAACCCAATCCCTTCCATGTTGTCATCCTCGCCACAAACTGATCCATTCCTTGGTTCACCCTGAGAGTAAGCTCCTCAACTTTATTGCTAAATTCCACAATCAAATCCAACTTCTGAAAGTTCTTTGCAACTCTCCCAGGTTGCTTCTGTGCATTAGTTCTAGACCCTTTCACTCGATTTTTCCATTGATTTATTAGGCGTTTTCACCTCTTGGTCAGATACAAGTTCATCTTGTCCATTCACATTTTTATTTGGCTTCCCACCAACTCCTTTTCCTTGGACACTATTCACTTTCTTCTTCTTTTCTTTTTCTTCATCTCCATATCTTTCTTCCAGTAAACATCAGACTCACTCGAGGTCAAGAGTTCCACAATATCATCATCATCATCAGCATATACTCTAGAAGTAAAGCTCTTTTGCCCAACCTTATTATTTGCAGTAGTTGCATTCCCCCCTCTGTGAGGAAGTAAACATAGGTGAAAACATGGTCCACCACGATGCTGCACTTCGATTTTTCTCCAAATTTGTCGTGGAAAAGCCTAATGCCAAAATTCCCCAGCAACTGATGTACTGTTCTTTTCAAGGAGAGGAATGCAATTTGTGGAAAAAGATTACTTGGGGACGAAGGTTATTTGAGAATGGAGCCGATTGAGAATTTGGAGAAAATTAATGGAATTTTTTACACACAAAAAAATGTATAAGAGGTGGATATGATTCATATGTCACGTCATTTTTTTATTCATTATGTAGACATATTTGTTCAACTGTATAGATGGAATTAGCTATGATAAGCGTAGTGTAAAGTAATAAATAGTTTAGTGAGCATTGAGTAACCATTTAAAGATTAATGAGTAAGTAGTAAACTGGGTACAAGTTTGATGAACACTCATTTAATTAACTCAATAAAAATTTGAAAATTTAAATTAGCATTGAAGCTGATTAATGGGTTTGGGTCCGCAGTTTTTTTATGTAAACTATTGAGTCACAGGATTTTCTGTTGAACTGGAAGGTTGGTAAGGACTGTGAACCTTGGTTCGAATAAATGTATGCTTTTACTTGGGATATCTATGCCACAAATTCAAAATATTGGGTTACGAGTGTCATACCAAAAGATTGGGGACCAATATATAAAAAAAAACTAAATTTTTTTATAGTATGTATCAAAATTAGGGTTGGACAAAACTTCCAAACTGAACCGATCGAACCGGATCCGATCTGAACTGCATTGAACCGAGCTGTTCTTCGTAAGTTAAATTTTTCGAATGGATATCTAAATCGAAAATCGACAGATTTGTTTCGATTCTCAACTCTAGATCAAGAACCAAAAAATCTAATTTTTTTAATTTATTTATTTTAAATAAGTCAAATTATTTAATTTTTATCTAAATAAATTTACTAACTGGTTAATTTAGCTCAAACCAAAAAAGATGATTTTTTTATTTCTAATTTTCATATCAAGTCCAACTTAATCAAATTGATATAAATTTTACCAAAATATGTTATTTTACCGTAGTGTCATTTCTACTATTCTGAAGAAATTGAATTGACGCTCAATGATACATCTCTTAATTATTGTGAGCTCGCTATTTCTTCTTTCGGTGATTTTAACAATCAAATCTATTAAGAACTCAACAAAAAGATAAGCAAAAGACATGTAACATTTTATTACGTTATTTTGTAAGAGTTAAGATTAAAGTTTCATTCGTTGAATTAATGTAATTTTGTAAATATTCAAAAAAAAATTATAGTTCGGAACCCGAGAATAGAATGAAACTGAACTCAAATGGTTCATAATTAAATTTGGATCTAACAATTCTACTTATTAATTACTCCAAAATTTTAGTTTCGATTCGTTTCTAGCCATAATTGAATCGGATGATGTCCATACTAATTAAAATACAAAAAAATTATAAATCACCCGGTGCATGCAAGCTGACACGTGGGTCACGAGCTCCCCCTCCTACACTTTTTGGCTGGCGTTGTGTCAATTCGTGCCCTTTCTGTCATTTCTCGCGTCACATTAGGTCTATATTTGTACGGTGCCGTCATTATTGTCAGAACTACCTCTCTCATCATTAATGTCACGGCTGAAAATTTTCAGTTCATTGTTGTTGTGTGTGTGTGGGTTCTCTCCATTTATATGTTTTGATGCGTAGGTTTTGTCAAAATTTCCTCTGTTTTAACAAAACTTTAATAATTCTTGATTCTGTTGTGTGTTTTGGTACATGGGTTTCATCTGTTTTTACTTTCTTTCAACAACAATCCCACAATTTATGACTCTTCTTTTTCGTGATAATCGAATGATCATCTACAGAAAGCTGTTCACTAGATGAGATTTTAGCCCTGCCGAGTTTTTCAGTATCTGTGGATTAATTACACCGGAAATCCTAACGGGTTTTCTTCGAGATAGGGCTAATTTCATGGATTGTAGTCAAAAGGTGCGGTTGGAATTTATATCTGTCAATTTTAACTGGTCATACTGCGTTTTTACATAGATTTTTGTTTTATTTTGATTCTTAGGAAGAGTCTTCATCATCTGACGGTTTGATCGAGGTGGAAATCAAGAAGTTTTGTGCTGATTGTAAGACCACTAAAACCCCTTTGTGGAGGAGTGGTCCGTCTGGCCCCAAGGTTGATTACACTTTAATTGATTTATATCTTAGCATTTTTTGATATTGGTTAATTGATTTTAAGCTTATTCCAAGTTTTCTTTCTTTTTTCCTTCTCTTTGGGTTCAGTCACTGTGTAATGCTTGTGGCATTAGATACAGAAAGAAAAGGAGTCCCTTTGTGGGATTGGACAGGCCAAAAGGCCGAGAGAGGAAAAAGGACAATCCCACCACCACCTCCGCGGCAGCGGCCACCACTTCCACCACCAAGAATTGTGGAAAAAAGGGTAAAATTAGAAAATCAAAAGATGTCTTGAAAGTAAATTTAATGCCGCTGGGGAGGGAAGTGTTATATTTGCAGAGGCAGAGGCAGAGGACAGCAATGAAGAGGCAGAGAAGTCCAAGGGAGTGGGGTGAGGTAGAAAGAGCTGCTCTGCTTTTAATGGCTCTGTCTTGTGGTGCTGTTTTTGCTTGAAAAAATGTATAAACACAATCAGATTGTATGTATATGGGGTTGGGTGGGGTGCTCTTGCACAAGTAAATTTGATGATCCCTCAAATTTTCTTGTTAACTAAGAAGCCCATGCTAATGTTAGGAGTATTTAGTTAGAACCACAGTTATTGAGAATGAATGTTTGCCCAATGATAGTGCCCTTTTTTTTGAGTAGGTAGGAAAATGGAAGTGTAATTACTCAAGTTTGATATCATAATGGAATCAAAATTTACATCTCAATGTTTCGATACTTGGATCTTAATCATATATCGTGTAGTCGACTCTAAATATTTCATTTTCTTATAATTAGTTCAGACAAGAAAAGGTTGACATACATATGCTATCACTGGACCACGATTTTGTAGTACTTGGTAAGCATCGATGTTCAGAATTGGGCATTCATTCATTGAGTGCGAAAAGGGAAAGCAGCCCTCTATGGAAAAGTTGATTCTTTTGTAAGTGATCTTTGTTCAGACTTTATTTTAGCAATACAACATGCAGCCTTAATCAGAATCCGACGACTCTTCAGAATAAGGATTCAATGTCGTAAACATTTTAGACAATGTCTCGCCAATGTCTTCGAGTTCATCCTTCCCGAAACCCCAGTTTCTGAGCAACTCCGTCCCTAGAGCTCCTCGCGCAATACCAAACTTGCGAAGATTTCCTAATCTATTTTCCAGAAATGGCAAAATAGCGTTGCTGGAACGCAATCTTGCTGCCATGGGAATCGAGTGGACTTCGAGTGATCCTCTCGATGCAGGACCTGAAATTGGTGTATCCAGAAGCTCCCCGTGTTGACCAATTAGGTTCCCAAATATTGAAGGAAAAGGCAATGGTACAGGGAGAGGACAACGAGCTACAGATAGGTGTGAGAATTTTGGCCTTGTTACTGCGTTATCATAAGCAGCTTGTACTGCATCCTTAACTTCAGTAATTGATGCCCGTTGGCGTCCTGAATTTAAAAAGAAAAATATTTAAAGGACATTTCTTGGCGAAACTAAGCTTAAAAATGAGAACCATGGCCAAAGAATGAACCTCTTTAGACACATTCAGTGTTCACAGGAAATTAAATCATGAAGACAGTAAAATGGAAATGAATATTCAAGTAGATGGCAAAATGCAGAAGACAATAAGCTTTACCTGCCCTATAGACTCCATGAACTGTCATGGATTCCACTGCTTGAAAGTCTTCAGCATCTTCGGCTACGTCAGGCGTCAATGGCTGCAAATTCTCCAGCAAAGATTGTTGCGCCGGGTACCCTAGAGTTAAATAGTTAGGCACTTCAGCAAAGACAAAAGTCGGTTCCGAAGCAAGGGAAAGAGAGAGAGAGAGAGGGGTGGACATTCTACCAGTGAAAGAAGGTGCTGGCATAGAAACATCCAAAATGCTAATAATATTCTGCCGGGATTGGCCTGCTAGGATCTGTACAAGGTCATTGACAGACATTGCACCGCATGTGTAGCTTGATTGTGCACTGGGCCCGAGTTGTTCCATTCGAAAAGGGAGACTGATGGAGTGTATTGCAGATGCATAAACTGCACTGGTGTGGTAAGGCTTTTCGTCTTCTACACGAAGAAATGAGGAAGTTCTACCTTCATAAAACAAATAAGTTCTTTTTGAGTCCATTAGGAAAATAGGAAGGTATTAAACACCATGTATGTAGATATTAAAAAGAATTTTAAGCGTAGACATTCACAAGAAGGTTATGAATCCTTGTCACGCAGAGTTGCCCAATAATCCTTTCAATAAACTGAAAATGGAAAACAAGGTTATGCTTACTTCTACTGAGGGATGGCAAACCAACTGGGACGACCAATTTACAGAGAGCTGATAGCCTTGAAAATGAAACCACATCATGAAGGTTGCGGGAGATTGTCTGCTTCCTGCTTTTGGGATCTATGGAAGTATCAGGGCTGACCCTGTACAGTAGCACAGGTATATTTGCATACTCATCTGCAATATTCTCCAAAAACTCCCCAGCTACACCAGAAAATCCTCCAGTGTCATCGACAACAAATTGGATTCCCTGTCAAAATAAGAAATTTCATCAGTGGGCCCAAACCTAATTAAGGATAGGATTTTGCTATATGTACATAAAAATTTACATAATGGATTACATAATGCTATGTTGCACTCTATCATTTGTCAGTTTAAAACACAATCAACTTTTTCATTCAATCTTTTCCCTTCACATCATATTATGTAATCATCTATATTTTTTTATATACAAGTAGCAAAATCCATAAGGATATTTGTTCAAAAAGAAAATCTAGTGATTAGGGTGTCAAGCGTGAACCAGATTTCTTATGGCATGCATAAACATGTCATTTCTAGAACCATTCTTTGTTTGGCAAAGAATCGTATTTCATACCCGTCAAATTTAAGAAAATGGGTCTGAACCCGTGTCCCGTAAATGGTGACGATGAGAAAAAAACGACAATGAAATGACAGTTATATAAGTAATGATATGTTGGGTGCAATGGCTCAATTAAATACTGGAAATTTCAGCTGTCATGCTAATGGATAAAATTCCATTTGATGAAATCTCAATCTCCACATCAGTAACCACACCCCTTAAACCTTAGCATTGACAAGGCTTAAATTTTAGATCAGTCCTTTATTTGAAGTCTAGGAAGCACTAACCAGATGACAAGGACACAACATGACAGTTTATTTTAGAAGACTGGTAGCCAGGATAGAGTTCTATTTATCCTTCTTTCCTTCTCTTCAGGAGTCCTCTAAAGGCTTTGCGACATTTAGAGCAAGATATATTGAAGGGGAAATGGTAGAGGAAACGAATATGATATGTTGAAGGAAGATTATGCAATGAATGAGATCACAGTTCACTACCTAGCGAAAATGCTGTGTTAGGGAAGATTTGTATTAGACTGAAAAGTTTCCAAGAATTTTAGACAATACTGGTGGATTTCCAACAGAACAGTTTTTTTATTCATTTAAATTTCTGATCAAGTGAAGGGAGTGCAACAATCTTCAAATAGAGAAGGTTTTCGAAACAGAATAAAAGAGGCCTCATATGTAAGAAGTACCTGAGCATGATCACATTCTTCAATAAAAAAACGAAGCCTCTCGTTAATTTCTTCTCCACGTAGACCCCCTGAGAATACATCTCTTCCGAATCCATAATTGTTAAAATCCTCAATGTCCATCCACAATCCACTTAACTCATACAAACTCTGTGGGTGATAATGAACTTTTGAGAAGTCTGTCCAGTATTGAACTCCATTCTCCAGACATTCAACAATGTCTTTATCTTGAATTTCGCTTCTAGAACCATTCTTCCAACTATCAGAGCTAGTATTACCCACAGCTTCATCTTCCAAGTGCAGACTTTCTAAGAACAAGTTCTTCTTCAAAGGCTCGGATGAATGAGTTGTGACACCACCAGTCCTACAATTGATCTGGAGACATTCAATACATATAAATGCCAAATCAGATGGCAAAAGGAACAGTCTCTACATAACACTTTAAAAAAAAAAAAAAAAAAAAAAAAAAATNATATATATATATATAAATTGAAGGGAGCATGACAACAGCATTTGCCAATCAGCCTGAAGTAGTTCACCAACTTCCTAGAGAACTTATAATCCTCTAACAAAACCCAACCCCCACCCCAATGAAGTAAAATTTCATAGAACAAAAGCTATAATGTATGTCAAATTCAAAGATCCAATTTATCTTTTCGGTTCAAGTTTTGTAGAGGAGAGCAACAAAGGGGATTCAACCCATTTATAAAAATGAAACCAATCCGTTTCCAGCAAATAGCAAACTTTTAAAATTAATAACCAGAACATAAGTAAAGAAGCAGCCAAATATTCCTCAAATAACTATGAAGAAAAAACAACAACAACAACAATAATAATAAACACACCAGCAGAGTGCTAAAAACACGTCTCCAAAGATCTTCGTCAAATTTCAATTTCGACCAACCTAAATGATTTTCATTTGCTTTACCACTAGTTTCCTCTTCAGGGCAGAACTCAAGCATCTCGTTAAGATTATTATATTCTCAAATTATTATAGAACTTCAATTCCAACAAATAGACCCAATTGGTACTCAAGACTGTAAAGCAGCAGCCCATCCCAGAATTAGGGATTGGTTTTAATTCCAATAAAATGATTGGACATAGATGTATAATTTTCATTAGCATTACATTAGCATAATTTGAGTCAGTGTTATCGTTTTCATCATAACATAATGATTTTTTCATTAACTTTGTGTTGATAAATCAATCCAGATATTAACAGTAACATCAGTTCAATACTTCAATTAGAATGTAAGTGAACTAATAGGCCATAAAAGAAGCTTGGCATGGTGGATCAGCATCAAAATTTACATACCTTGAAAATCAACAGAAACCAAACGAGGAGTATATGTTGGAATGCCCTGAATGTGATAAACACCCAAGAATCAAAGCGATTATCACCATTTGCACTTGAAATTACAGGTGAAGGAAGATCAAGCAAGTACTCTAATTCAGAAACAGAAGCATGCCAATTACTCCACTGAGGTTCAATTGCAAATGAATTTACCTGATGAGTCTCGCCACTACGGTAGAGGACATTCATGTCGAGGTTGTGATTGTTAAATATATCGTCACTCTCCGGGTTATCAGCCAACCCAAGCAATTCATCCTACAACACTTAAAACACGAAATATATCTCACCAATGAAATGGAACTGGAAGTGGATTTAGATAATTTAATTTTACCAAACCCAAAACACTCTTTCAAATAGCTGGACTTCAACAGAAGTTCTAAGTCAATCCGACAAAAATCAGATATTATTCAAAAATCTTTCGTGGGTCGTAATTCATAAATCATAGAACACTTCGGTAAAATGAGATAATCCTCTTAATTTGCCTACTTATTCATAACTTTTGAAGCTTTATAAAAACAACCTAGTATAATTAGAAAAATT